TCAACAATAGGTTGATGGTGCGAACAGCAATTAGTGCAACCAGTTTTGGTGTTCAGTTTCTCTCAAGTTTAATAACATGTTAGTACAGCGTGGTCCAGATGTCTCGTGACCCCCAATTAATTGACCCGTTAACATTTTTTTTCCTTTGTATATTAATTTCTGTTTTTTAAATACACCTTTAAAAAAAGATATTACATTTTTGTTTGATAATTAAATGTAGGTCACAAGACATCTGGACCACCCCGTATAAAAAAAATTGCTTCCCCGTGGCATGAGTAAGCACTCATCAATGGGCCGATCACACCTTCATATGTCGAGGACCGCAGAGCTTGGCGGTGGGGACTTTGACGCCGACTCATCACGTGGCTTCTGCTGCCGCCTTCACGCTCTTCTGTGATTCCTCTTCGCGCCTTTGGGACCGTAGTCTCTGTCTCAAGAGTGAGCGAATGCTTGAAATTATTAGTACGTGAAATGGCTAAAGAAGTTGAACTGGATTTCCACGAATATTCATTTAACTTTTATTTGTATTATTTTATTTTACCAGGTAAGGCTCCACTGAGCCATGTAGCTCTTCTTCAGAAGCGATCTGGCCACAAATGATAACTCAACGAAAGTGGATTATCGTGAGGAATTGTATAGCAGCCGAATACTCTAAACGAGAGGTGTTTCTAAATACGGAGGGAAAAACCGCAGGACCCGGAGAAAAATCCACGCGACCACGGGGAGAACACGCGAACTCCAAATATACATCAGGCGTCAGGGTCGGGATCGAACCCACGGCCATCCTGTATACCTGGCGAGGTAGTTAACGTCTCGCTCGCGTGGCGCCCAATATCTCAAGCAACACAGCTCAACATTTGCGAATGCAAAACCATCTGCAGCATGCGTGGCCCGAGGCGACGTCAGCCACAGGCGTTGAAGCAAATCAAGCTTGCCGCACCACGGTCACGGCTGTCGGCGTAAATCTGACCCAAAGTTGCTCTCCGTGTCCACCTCAAAAAGCTGACAGTTTGATTTCGAATGACGCCGATAGACGCCAGGTCGATGAACGCCAGGTGAGTCCTTAATTAATAAAGGGTAGGTGACAGACGAGCAAAATCAATTCGCATTGCGCGGCACGCACGAAATGGTTGGAGTCGTTGAGCATGGTAGTCGTTTCATTCTCACGGTGGTCGTTTCATTCTCACGGTGGTCGTTTCATTCTCATGGTAGTCGTTTCATTCTCACGGTGGTCGTTTCATTCTCACGGTGGTCGTTTCATTCTCATGGTAGTCGTTTCATTCTCGTGGTGGTCGTTTCATTCTCGTGGTGGATCGTTTCATTCTCATGGTGGTCGTTTCATTCTCACGGTGGTCGTTTCATTCTCACGGTGGTCGTTTCATTCTCACGGTGGTCGTTTCATTCTCATGGTGGTCGTTTCATTCTCGTGGTGGTTGTTTCATTCTCGTGGTGGTTGTTTCATTCTCGTGGTGGTCGTTTCATTCTCGTGGTGGTTGTTTCATTCTCACGGTGGTCGTTTCATTCTCGTGGTGGTCGTTTCATTCTCACGGTGGTCGTTTCATTCTCGTGGTGGTCGTTTCATTCTCACGATGGTCGTTTCATTCTCACGGTGGTCGTTTCATTCTCACCGTGGTCGTTTCATTCTCACGATGGTCGTTTCATTCTCACGGTGGTCGTTTCATTCTCGTGGTGGTCGTTTCATTCTCGTGGTGGTCGTTTCATTCTCACGGTGGGCGTTTCATTCTCACCGTGGTCGTTTCATTCTCACGGTGGTCGTTTCATTCTCACGGTGGTCGTTTCATTCTCGTACTGGTCGTTTCATTCTCGTGGTGGTCGTTTCATTCTCACGGTGGTCGTTTCATTCTCACGGTGGTCGTTTCATTCTCGTGGTGGTCGTTTCATTCTCACGGTGGTCGTTTCATTCTCGTGGTGGTTGTTTCATTCTCACGATGGTCGTTTCATTCTCACGGTGGTCGTTTCATTCTCACGGTGGTCGTTTCATTCTCACGGTGGTCATTTCATTCTCACTGTGGTCGTTTCATTCTCACGGTGGTCGTTTCATTCTCACGGTGGTCGTTTCATTCTCTTGGTGGTCGTTTCATTCTCACGGTGGTCGTTTCATTCTCGTGGTGGTCGTTTCATTCTCACGATGGTCGATTCATTCTCACGGTGGTCGTTTCATTCTCTTGGTGGTCGTTTCATTCTCACGGTGGTCGTTTCATTCTCACGGTGGTCGTTTTATTCTCACTGTGGTCGTTTCATTCTCACGGTGGTCGTTTCATTCTCACGGTGGTCGTTTCATTCTCGTAGTGGTCGTTTCATTCTCACTGTGGTCGTTTCATTCTCACTGTGGTCGTTTCATTCTCACGGTGGTCGTTTCATTCTCGTACTGGTCGTTTCATTCTTATGGTGGCCGTTTCATTCTCACGGTGGTCGTTTCATTCTCGTAGTGGTCGTTTCATTCTTACGGTGGTCGTTTCATTCTCACGGTGGTCGTTTCATTCACAAGTGCATCGCGGCTCCTGACATGCTCAGTGTTTGTTGTTACCGGTTTAGAAAGAAAAAGGCTCTTCTTGTTACGTTGTTTGCCAACCGCCTGGCCATGCTCATTGCACGCGACACATTACCTTGCATCCATGTACAATAATGTGCGCGGGATATTCTCGATCCGCTGCTGGATGAAGGCTGGTCCACTTTGCGCGCGGATCGTGGGAGGTTATTTGCTCGTACTTAACCGTGCGGGCACGGTTATCAGGCACGGAACATAAACGTATCGTGCAGTACAAGCAATTGAAATTTGATGCACGGTCCTCTGGTCCTCGTCACGAACGCAACGTTCTAATTGTGAACATCCCCAATGCGGGGTACAACCACGTGTTTGCCCATCACGACACAACTCTGGCGTACAAGTTTGACGCGTTGCAGCCTCAACCGTGGTAATTATTGACGTGTATACACGCATGCACACGGGAACGCACGCCGAGGGTTTGTGTTTACAGGTACGAGAGCTCTCAATCAAAGGTGAAGTTTCGTCGCGTTCATTGCGGTATGCATTGTGCACAGACTGCATTTCACGTGAATATTGGACTGGGGATGGGTTGGCCAGGTGGGTCCCTTTTTCTAGGTTTGGGTCCGGCCCTCAGCACGTGGAAATCCCGAACGGAGCAATGATTATTTGAAGTAGCATGTGTGGTTTGTTGATCGAACGCTGTGCGATCGTCGAGAGTGGTACGACTAAGTACTGTATTGAGCATTCCAGTGAAAAAATCATAACTAGTAAACTGCAAACTTAATATACCTCTTCGTGAATCTGTGCGTACAGCCCTTTGCCAATCCACTGCTGGACGAGCCCCCCCCCCCCCCCCCCCCCCCACACACCCCCACACCATATGGATGGTGTTTTTGTTGTTTTGTTTTACCTTATCTCACCGAACTGGTCAATGAAGGTTTGGTAAAGGCAAGGACCTAGAGGCTGGGAATTGAGTACAATAAAGAACCATTGAATTTGACGGACTGCTGCCTTCTACTGCCCTCTGCAGCCCCCACAGCTGATCGTGGTGTTGTGAACGGTAGACGCTCACCCGATCACTGTTAAGACTTGAGCTGCTTAAGCTGCAGGAGATTATGAGATCCGCTCATCGTCTCGTCCATCTAAACTCTGGAAGCAGCTGTAACAGTCTAAACAACCCGTACCATTCAATGTTGGGAAACTATTCGGTATTCCGTGCGGTTATTTATCTGCACAAAGGTACAGCTGGGAGTGAACATTTCAGCATTTTATAGCATTTATAGGAATAGGTTTTACCCTTTTAACTGACACAATCAAATTCAAGGACAGTGCATATTATTTTCAGAGTTGTCTTTTTTGTTTGCATTTTGACTGCTTGTGTTGTGGTTATTGCAAACATGATGCCTTGAATAAAGGTGTCAGTTTTTGTGCCAGTTAAAAGGGTAAAACCTATTCCTATATCTTGTTACTGGCAAAGGAGGTCTCATAATGTAAATTTCAGCATTTTGTTACACTGCATTGTGGAAATATATACGCTCCCTTCGCAAAAGAAAGATGGATTTTGCTTTCCGGAGCTACGAGCGACTCCCTTGAGTCGACTTGCAGTGCGTCCAAAATGTGACCACCCTTTTCGGGGCCACGTCGAACCCGTGCTCGTCTCATGCGTTGAGCTTCCGGCTCAAACCCCACGTTGAATATAAGATGATCTCTCCCCTCACCTTTGCGCTCGGCTCTAAATGGGTTTGCTGCACTGCACCGTACACACTAGGATTGGGCCACACCACTCCTCCACCGAGATCCACGGATGGTGTCCCCAACACGGCCTAGCTCGCTCAATGCTTGCAAAGCTGGGGTGAGAGAACGGGGATTTTGAGACTGCACGGCGTCCATTCTCTGGAATTCCCTGCCCGATGGAGGTCGATGGAGAGATACTTCTAAGCCCAGGCTGAAGACCCCACCACCTGTTTAACACGGCCTCTCTATCGTTTGGGCGTCACGGTGGCGAGATGTTAACTACCTCACCTGGTGTACAGGAGGTCGTGGCTTCGATCCAGACTAACGCCTGCTGTATATTTGGAGTTTGCATGTTCTCCCCGTGGTCGCGTGGATTTTTCTCCGCATCCTCCGGTTTCCCCCTCAACATTTAGAATCAACGTGCGTTTTCAGTATTTGGCTGCTATACATTTTCACGTGATGACAAACCACTTCGTTGAGCTTATTACATGTGGCCAGGTCGCTGCTGAAAAAGAGCTGTATAGCTCAGTGGGCTGTACCTGGTAAAATAAAAAATGTTCGTAAGTTTCCCATCTCGTCCCGGTTACTTCACTTATTTTCCTGCATGGTTCTCTGCGATTAATATTTAAGGACGCCTCAATTCCAAAGTATTATTTTCATTTTCATCACTTTCATAAGTAATTTGTCCCATAGATGATATCACACATCATTAGCTCCGAAGCAACCATGGAATGAACTCAGTCAAATAAACAAAGCATGGCATGATCATGGCAAGTTTAATATAATGCCCATACAGACTACCGACAGAAACTTCAGAAAGGAATACTGGACACAAACATAACTGCAAACATTTTGGTCCAGACCGACAGCTTACACAAATAGTTTACAATATATGCAAGGACGTATAGTTAGTAATACAATACATCTGCTTGTTAATATAAAAACTTAAATATAGCAAAGCGTTTTCACCATGCCATGCAATCAATCATATATACACATCGGCCAGACGGCTCAAATTCACATTTGCAAGCCATCGCTTGTACCTACACACGTGCAGGCACACACACAATCTCGCCAACCCCCATATATAGCCAGAAGCTTGCTTTGATATATAAAAAAAAAACTCGCGTATGTACAATGTCAAAGAGCGTGTTACAAGTTACATTTTTTGCGAATATAGAAACCCGCAGCACGCGTGCACGCTGGAGCATCGGTCGGCTGCCACACATTCAACGCTCTCTGTGACACAGAGGGCACATTTTTTTTAGGTGGGTGAACAAAGTGAAGTACTGTATACAATATAAGACAACATGAGAAAAAAATACAAGTTCCAAATAAAATAATAATAAATTGGACACTTGGGGTAAATTCGTGAATTCACAGTCGGGTTCCAGCCGAAATATGCTTCGTTCACGAATCGCACCGTTGGTCAAAACCTAGCGAGCACCACAAAAGATAAACAATATTTCGCACTGGCACGTTTAGACACTGCAATGCTTTGCACCACTTTGCCAATCATCTTGACTTTATCAGCTTAGCAATAGGAAGCCCCCCCCCGCCTCTCAGATTGGATTACTGTTGTCCCAAGTGCAACAGCAAAGGCTACTAACGCCCCACTCAGAAAAAACTCCTCCACGCTTAAGATCAAGGAATCCTCCATATTCTTAGGCCCAATAAATCCATGGTGATACCCACGATCCCAAGTCCACGCGCCACGTTTTCTGGCCCAGCCCAAAACACATCCAGCTGCAGCTGTGATCAGTCCTGAAGTCAAACCTGAACGGAAGCTGTAATCATGCCAGGCCAGTTAATGGACCAACACATTTAATGAGCGTGGAGAGATGCAGTTGTTTAATGTACTCGAGCGCCACATGGATGATTTGCGAACATCTAGAAAGCCATTCACAAATGTAGGGATTGTTTATTGTCTGTGCTTAATTAAGACTGTCCACCTGGCCAGCCATTTGGTGTTTTGCCATTTTAGAGAACGTACAATAACAAAGGAAGAAAGCCAAATATCACTAGCCAGAACGTCAAATTTTAACCGATTCAAAGCAAATATCTGACTGCTGTATGTCGTGGAGTGCCATCATGAAGAGTATTTAAATATATAACCTGGTTATGGTTAAGAACAATGATTGTTACGAATTCTCCACCAGTTATTCATGGCATGTTAATTCCACCAAAAACCTCTCACACAGGCTTACTAAGCAGCTGCATGGCAGCAGCTAGAATCAAACCTCAATTGAGATCCTTTATAAACACAACTACATGAGTTGACCTGTCCACTCATGCAACCTACAGCCACAGAACATAAGGACATCGAGCCTAGCTATCACGGCTCTGCTGTGGCGTTATGATCGGCCACTAGTATATCTCCAAAAGTAGTTGGCCACATATACCCACATGTTCCATGTTATCACGGACGAATGCTTTGTGTGCCTGCTCGAGGCGCAGCTCAATTCATTGATAGAAAAGTGTTACAGCCCTGCCCAATGAATTTAAAACTGATGTCAGTCGACCATGGCATAATGTCCCACCGATGTAGAAAACCAGACTCCGTTGAGATGTGCTTTTATTTAAAACGCGGGGGCTCACAATGATCAATTCATTATTATTATTATTCAGTACTTACAACAATAACGTTGGGTTAAATTATAGTGGGTTGTGCATACGATAGATATAGAATATCGGGAAACACGATGCAAACAAACAAACACACACCTTGCAATAAAGTGATCCTATCCAAATTAAAGCGCTGATAGCTAACCTGAACAAACACGCAGTTGTATGCAAAATGAATTCCACGCTTTTAACACGCTTCGCCTATACAGCAGCAACATGCAGTTGTAGAGCCGTGCATTGTGTATCAAGCCTGTATCCATTGTCCAATGTTATGCAAGATTCAAAATAAAGTGGCACTGCCCCACAGCCCCTCACTTGCTGCTGCATGGCCCCACCGAGGGACGTCACAGTGCACTTATTAGCGTTTGGAATGAGGTCTGCTCATTAGGATGGTGCTTATACGCTTGAAATGGTAACTCCCAGGTAAAAGGGCATTTCCGCATTGTCTTCAAGATAAAACGGGATCGGGACTTAAGATGAAAATTCTCAAAAATAGGCAGCGCTTTTGATAATACGTGTTTTCATATGGGGTGACCTTACAGAGTAAAAGTGAGGTAAAAATTTGAATTACAAAACCCTGCTTGTGGTCAAAGGGCTGAGCTTAATGAACATCGTGCTCAGAGCAAACATTAAAAATGGTGAACAGAAGTCTAAAGAGCAACTTTTCTCATATCTTTACCATGCACAGCAAAAAAAACACAAGAAAAACAATATTCTTTAAAACCACCGTCCTGAATTTCATATCTGACAACATGGCCCTCAATCCCTGAGAAGCCCTAAAATATGTACACTATCAACTTGAATTCATATAATCAGACAACAAATAATAATACTCAACAAATGACAAGAGGTACGATCGCTCTCGGATGTCACAGCTGCACCAGGCGCATTATTAAAAATAAAGTCTTATTTTATGAATAATGCAGACTGTTTTCTCTGCATGTTTTGTTAATTATATGTACATCGCTGAGTTATGGCTTTGATGCGACCATCTATCTGGCAAGGACACTGCACTGCAAAATGCGAAGCTTCAACAATGAAAAATCCAGCAATTGGCGAGATGTGTTGGTGCGGAGGCTGCAATGGAGATCTCCTAACAGCGCAATGGCACTACAATCACACGTGTCGAAAAGAGCAGCCACTGCAGCTGCGTCGCTTATACTTTGGCGAACGGGACGACCCTCAATGCAAGAGCCCACAAAACGGGAATAACTTTTGGAGGCCATGTACCAAAAACTCACCGCCTGAGGCATTGGCTGGTGCAATTCACGTTCTGGAACATTTTGTTCAGCAAGTATGAACGAGATTATGAATTATGATTGACTTCATTATTTGGGCCAAGGTTGAGCCGAGAGTTTGAGTTACAATCGAGGAATAGGGGGTTTACTGTCGGGTTTGTATTTGTGCATGTACAGCCCTTTAGCAATCCACTGCTGGATGATGGCCTCCCCACACCAGGCGGTCAATCTGGGCTGATGGAAGCTGGGTGCACAGACGTGGAAGCATAATGCACAATGGACTTCGCTGCAACGACCTCTGCTGTCCAGCACACGGTCACCCCCCCCCACCCCCAGAGTCTATAGCCTTTAACGCACGTCATTAATGGGCGTCGGCCCATTCTAGCACTCAGTCCCGTTCAGTTTCTGTTAACCTGAAGAGATCAGGTGCATGCCGGGGCGATTTGGTCAAAGGTAATTTTTAGCATTATCATTATCAAAGTCATCGTCCAGTGCCAAATTCTAGCAACAGAACCAACGCCAAGGAAGGATTTTTCATTACAGCGCGTGGTTGGCCAGTGAGAACGCGTGCACATGCGTGCGTGCACCGGTGGCGGCATATATTTGCCACGTAGTCGTGAAAACGATGGCATTATCTGGAACTATGCCGTCGAGTAAAATACGACGATGCAATCCATCGGGCAGAGTTTGCTCTCTCGCCGACCAGTGCAGGTGCGCAATGGCTGCAATGCTAGGAAACGAGGAACATAATCCCTCTTGTGAAGAGAATTGTTGCAAAGTTGCAGCTATCTAAAAAGTTAAACAATAATAGCAAAATACACACAGGTCAACCCTTTTGGCCGAGTTTCAGTCGATGTCCTTTCTCCCACAAAAAGAGATTATATGCGGTCTACATATATATTATAGACTATTAAATACATAAGCTCTACAACGGCGGACCGACAGATGCACACACAGGAAAAATGACACTGTCGATGGATGGCAGCGCTTCTGAGAAAGTAAAAACGCTTATCGTGTTGTTATTATTAATAAGTGCTGACAACGATCCCCCCGATGAGGTAAGCGAGTGGCCCCGGCTTGGCAGAGCGCGTTTTCAATCTCGGCGCTCTGTCATCCATCAACCGGCAGCGCTGCCACCAACACAGCCCCTGTGCACTGATTTACCCACTGTCGGAAAATTGGCCAACTGTTCTAAAAAGAGGGACAAAAAAACCCTAGCAGGCTAGGCTTGGGCACTATCGAAATAATGCTATAAGAAGCTTTATTTTTTGTTCTATGTTTGGATCATGACGCTTGGCAGGTTTGAGGGCCACTGTAATGTACGACAGGAGACTTGTCAGTCTAATGGTGTGACAAAAACACTCAATTACAGGATGTGTGTGTACGAGCTGTTTAACATCGGTGTGCTTTAAAACTTGGGAATAATAAAAGTTTGCAACTTAATACAAAACCAAAAGAAGCTTGCGAAAACGTACATTAATTTTAGCATGCTTTGTGCAAACATAATGCTTTAATACAAATGAAATTCCTTAAATGTATGTTTGTAAAAAAAAATCACCCTAAAGTAACAAAAATTAACCCAAAAAGAGCTGGCTACGTGTAAAATCAAAATAAACATTGCATATTTAGCACTGTCGATTTATCAGGTGCGCACCTCACATTCTGACCTAATGCCTTTAGATACCAGTCTTTTCCAAACAAGTAAATGTGTAAATACTTTCAATGCATAATCAGTCTCCTCTAGCTCACATCATGCAGGAAATTCTGGCGCTGCGATTTAACTTGAGCATCCGTAGATAAAAGATCCTCGAATATTCATTTTAAATTTTCGAGTAAATAGCCAGCGTCAAAGCACAGTGCTTATACGTAGTCTACTTAAAAGGCATTTTAACCCATTTGCGAGAAGTTTAGAGAGATATAGTAACTGTTGCAGTCGCAAAGTGACAGTCATAAATACATTGTGGCTGTAAGCAGAAATGATTTTTGTGTTTAACACTGGTACAGGAAACAGTGGAAATGGTCAGTAGGGTTTCTCAACTATAAATATTTTTTTTCTAAAATATAACTTATTTGTATCCATTTTTCACTGTGACTTATCAGACCTGTAGTGCTGAAAATGTATGATGGTAGTTTCAAAGTTTTACAGTTGTGGGTTTCCTCCTGCTCACTATTGGCCAGATACTGCATCCTTTGACCTTTCTTAAGGAACCTTCCAGTGTTCAGCCACATGCAACCGAAGCGAGGAAAAAACATCTCCTGCCCCGGATAAGCGACTTTGTATCAAACCAGGTCAACTCTCAAACTCTGCGCGGTCAAGGCTTCCTCTCCGTAACTCAGCGTTTATATAAATCGAGTGCCCTTCCCTTTAAGCCCACGGTATCCACAGAGCCCGCTGTGAGATTCAACCCACGCTCTCCCCGTCACTCGGTCCGAACAGCAAGGGCCGCGCGCGTAAGGTCGGCGGGGCCGCGTCAAACGACCTGACAGCAGGTGACGTGGCTGAGCGCGGCGAGAAAGACCCCCTCCCCGGACCGGCCGGCGGCCCCCCCCGACGGCGGAGCGCCCGCCAAGCGCGAGGCCCCTCTTGAGGCTCTCTCGGAGCTCGGCCGCCAGACTCAACCTGGCTCCGGCCGCCACCGCCGCCGTCGTCGTCCCGGCACCCGTGAGCCCCCCACCGCGCAACAGCAGGCAGCAGTCCCCGGACAGCAGCGAACTCTCGCTGCTGCAGCGTCTCAAGTGGCTCGCCGGCAAGGGCGCCACGGCCCGCCATCCGGCGCACGACGACGACAGTGCCCCATTCCGCACCAGGAGCTGGCGCCTCCTGTCCTGCCCAGCGTCCGAGCCCAACTTCCTGTTCGCGTTGGCGTCCGTGGCAACCGCGCCCTCGGCATCTTCTCTGTAACCGTCCTCGGTGACACACACCGTGACGCTGGACGACCTCTCCCTTCGTTTTCCAATGTTGGGGGAACCCAAAGATTCCTTTGCTTTTGTGGATGTTCTACGACCGCCTGATGGGACGCCGCCTTTACTGCCGGCATTTTCAGTAGGGCAGCTAGGTTCTTGCCTGGACGGCGCTGACATGTCGGTAACGATGGTGCTAGACTGCGCCTCCTTGCTTGGTGCTGCGTCCGAAGCACTGCAGACAGAAATATCATCGCCAGCTGGACGCCCACAAGACTCCGTTTCCATGATGTCCGTGAGAGAAGTTTGTAATTTGATGCGATTGGAAGGGCTGCTGTTGGCAATGCCGATGTTTCCATATGAAATGTCATCGTGCGAAGCAGCATCGATTACCGGTCCCGATTTGTCACAGTCCATTGAAGATGGGTCGGCCCTTTCGAAAATGGCAGCAGTTGGATTCATATTGATGTCTGTAATTTCAGAGCACTCGGCCTGTTCCTGTACGTGGTCATATAGCGTCTGCCAATTATCTTGCGCTAGAGCCTCCGTTACCTCCCCACCCTCGTGCACGGTCTCCAGGGAGGTCCGAGACACGGAGCAGCTGCACAGCGCACCCGGGGGCAGGGACACTCCTCCAGTGCCGTGGCTGCCCCTTTTTTTCTTACTGCCGCGAGCGGGTCGAGCGCAGTCCGAGGCCTCACCACCGCCGCTCCTGTCCGACACGCACACCTCCTGTACGCCTGTGCAGGACGCCACCCGGGGGGCGGAGCCACCGCCGCCGCTGGCCCCGCCACCGCTTCGTCCGCCGTTGGCGCTGCCGCCCCCCGGCTGAGTGCTGCCACCCTCGCCGCCTTGATTGCTCCCGCCGCCGCCTCCCCCGTGACTTGGCCTCTCTCCGGCACCTCCGCCGCCGCCCCTGTCGCCTCCTCCTCCGCCGCCGCCGCCGCCGCTCCCGCCTGGCGGTCCATCTTCGTGCTGGCCCTGCCCCGTCAGGCCGCTGCCGCCGCCGCTGTTGTTGTTGTCGTCGTCGCTCGTCTCGGAGCTGCTGCAGCCCTGCTGGTGCATGGGCTGAGGCCGGGAGGCATGGCTGTCGGGCGACTGGCCGTGGGGCGGCGAGGGCCGGCCGGTCCCGGCCGTGCGCCGGCCACGTGGGTAGCGCTTGTGCGCAGTGCCCGGCGAGGCGAGGCTCATGCGCAGGCGGTTGAGCTGCGGAGCGAGCGCTGCGCCGACGCTGAGCTCATCTTCGGACTCGCAGCCCTCGCCCCCCTCCGCCTCCTCGCAGATCTGGTTGAGGAGCGGGGCGCTCTTGCGCGACGTGATGCGGGACATGAGCGACGGGCGCCGACGCAGCACCACCTGGGCATGCACAATCGTCGCAGGGAACACAAACGATGAGCACAGTTGGCTATGTGCACTGCGAAAGAAGTTCAACGCACATACATACGTGAGGAAAACGGCATCCGAGAGGTCCAACATACTTCCAGGCGTCCAATATAAACAAAAATAAAAAAATATTGGGAACATGAATAAACCAAATGTTTTATCCTCGCCAAATAGGCTTACTCAACATTTGCGCGATATCCTTTGCGGAATGCTAAACAAAAATGTGACTTAAAATATAATGCCATTAAGTCCATTCATTGAAGCAGGAACATAACTGAAAGTTCAGAGGATTACGCAGTCACGAGCGAATATGCACCTCAGTGTATATCAAAACAGGTATTAATGTACACAATCGGTCTAATGTGCTGCCAGGACGCGGGGGTGAACTGATGCCAGGCTCTCAAGTCAAAAAGATCATTCATAAGCCATCATCTACTTCACGGTTAGCAGATGACAAAGCCACTCTTTCCCCACTATGCGAGCTTTACATTCCTGGTCTACGATAATTAACTTTATTAAGGACCTCCAAGAAACAAGAAATGCCTCAATTGGACTCCTATTAATTTCAAGATGAGAACCCCTCCAATTACAGGAAAATGTTATTACAATTTAGCATGCCACTGTAAAGATCACAGGACACGTGGCTTGGTAAAAGACGCAGCACACATCTAACTAAACTTTTTATTTTACCAGGTAAGGCCCAGAGCTATACAGCTCATTTTCAGAAGCGAACTGGCCACAAATTATAGATCAATGAAGTGGCTTATCACAGGGAAATGTATTGCAGCCAAACACTCTAAATGCATGTTTCTAAATGTAGAGGGGAAAACCATAGGGCCCAGAGAAAAATCCACACGGCCACAGGGAGAAAAGGCAAACTCCATATATAGAAGCATCAATCGGGATTGAACCCACGACCTCCTGTATACCAGGCGAGGTATTTAACATCTCACCACCGTGGTGCTTAGGAGCACTTGGGCTCTATAGTGCGAGATGAGATGAAAACGTTCACATGGGGTCAGGACCCATTTTTCTTCAAGCGTTTTGATAACTTTGTTACATGGGTTCACGTAGTAATCCCGTCAAACGTCTGGTCATTACTCACATGTTTTGGATAGAGAGTTAATAGGTTTTAGGGCAAAACAGTATTGCGTTGCGTTTGACTTTGCACTTGTATTCATATTGTATCGAGGGTTCCATTTCTCTATTTAATACGTTGATCTTATTTTATTCTCCTAAATTTGCCATAATTTTTATTTCGTCTGTTATTAGAGAAACAAACATGGTATTTATCAATGCTGTTGTGAGATGTTGAAATAAACAAGGTGTTAGTTTTAATTACATAGTCTTTCATGTGTAAGCTGGATGATTTGTTTCAATTACATAATTTAGTCCCACTTAATTATAAGAGAAAGTGGTTAATGATACATTAGAAGCTCCGCTCATTTCAATATTGTCATTACAAGGTTATATATATCATTAGAGCATAAATGCTTTGGAATTGCCAATCATTATGTTCAGAAAAAAAATCAATGGCCCTTTCCCACTCACTCCACTGTGCTTAGGTTAGTTGACCTCTGTACGATTCTTGTACTGAACATGCCACTCCAAATCAATCGCCCTACACCTGCTACGCAGGTCGGTACGGTGCGGCCTATTTCATTAAGAACACTGTATTTTCTTTACAGAAAACAACTAAATGAGCGAGGGTGTAATTAAAGGGTCGGTGTACAAGACCATCTCGCAAAACACTTCACAAAAGCCACGAGGCTGAATGAAAATGTACTGCTTACACTGGTCCACAATGGAGCAGTGGTCTTAACGAAATGGCCAACTTGTTTGCAGTGCGCGGTGATGGCAATCTCTTAAGGTTGTTTTGTATGCCTTGCTTGCCACCGAGTTGTGATAAGCAAAGGAGAATCTAGGCAGGAAAAAATACATTCAGTGTCGTTTATTAAATTTAGACGGTAATCGTGGTGCAGTGGTGAGTGCACTGCGCTATGATCCCGGCAATGAAATTTTTTTCGGGCTTTGACGAACATCAATTTGCCAGTGATATCTGAACTGCTCGAGCTGCTCCCCTTCACCATCCTACACTGACCAGCATGGTGACGCGTGACCAATAAGACATGGGGATACCTACACCTAGCAGTGGATTGACAAAGGGCTGTTAATGATCAGAAATTAATTAAACGTATATCTGGTTAGGTCATACCAGTGGATGGCTTGCCACCAGACGGATGCAAGTTCAAATTCCTATCAGTCATTGACTCCAGAGTTGATAACACGATTTTCACTTTGTGCAAATTCAACACACTCGGTATACTAATTCACTGAAAGAAAAAAACCTCATGAAAATGAATTAGCAAATCGGTAAACTTCAATTTGGGTATGCAGACTGTCACCAGCACAAAGAGACTCACTCTTATGGCCAATGATACAGGATCTACAATGTCCACCCGTACATCAAGCGGTACACGCTTTGGCAACGCTTCACGTAAACGACCCAACACCTGCAAACAACGTGTGCAGCTTCTTCTTCTTCTTTTGTATGGCTGCCGATGAAGACGCAGAGCAACAACTACAATTCACATTCGGGTAGTCAAGCCAGGGGACCACGTCAGGAGCAGCAGAGTGCATCGCTGTGATGCCTGCGCAGCTTCACTTGCTCGGCAGTCACGGCAAAAATCCCTTCGATAAAACACCCACCTGCACGGCCTGCTGCTGTTTCCTCTTCGCCTCCATCTTCTCCTCCTCCTCCTCGTCCTCCTCTTCGCCCTCTCCGACGGTGAACACCACGGACTTGCGCCCCCCCCCGCCGGTGCCACCAGGAGATGGGGCTGGCCGTGCCGGCGTCAAGGTTCCCATGGATGGCTGGGATGACCCATCGGCGGGAGAGCCCTGGGGGCCGGCCGATGTCCCGGGCCCAGACAGCTCGGCGATTTCCTGGGAGATGTTGATCCGCGCTGGCCACGATTGTCTGAGCAACCAGGGGATAAAATAATGATCGATTTAGGCAGAAATTTTACATGGGACAAGCAGAACCTGCTCTGACATATGGTCATTGGCAAAAAAAAACGGAATAAAAACTTAAAAAGGGCCCAAGAAGCGTGGACAGATGCTTGGAATTTCACACTGAGAGACAGACGGAGGAACACGTGGAGGAGAGAAAATGGGCAGGTTCATGAAATCATTCAAACGATTAAGAAAAGTGATACTGGGCAGGACACATTGCTAGACGGGATGATGGACGAAAGGAATGAAACACGTTGCAGTGGGACGTCCACCGAGGAGATGGAGTGATGAAATCAGTTTGTGTGCAGGTGCTAAGTATATTATTACATTGCAGAATCGTGAGAGGTGGCGGCTTGGAGAGGCGTTCATCCAGCAGTGAACTGACCATGGCTGATGATGATGAGCAGAAGCATTCATTTTCAGTCGTGATGTTCGCACGTTGCGATTTAAAAATGAATATCATTACCATTAAGCCAAATGATACTGCAGTTAATACCCATAAATATTTACGAGCCAAACAGCAGTGGAAGATATAATTATATTGTTTTCTTGCTGGCGCTGAAAACGAACAAAGGAATGCAGAGATATCAGCACTGGATTCCCACTCACATGGGAATTTTAAATCCAACTAATCCACCCAATGCTTTTAAAATATTTTTCCCCTTGCTTCAACACATGGTGGCCCGTTTTATCATAAAACGAGATTTACTCACAGCCTGCAAGCTTTCATGATGGGCTAAACGAAGTGTGTGCTGGTTTGCACAGCATGTACATATTTGGCCATGTCTGGGCAAAGTCCAAATTCCAAATTACCCACAAATAAAATTGTGCTTCTCAGGTGCGGTCGTTTGCTGGTGGTTGACATGCCGGACCCCAAATTGGCCCGAGCAATTTTAAGAATGTTTGCGAAAGGAGACGCAACAAGTCACCGGTGCGAACAACTTTTGATCTAACCCACATTATTGACAAGTATTCGCAGTAAATACCACTCGCGTTGCCATGGACAGGAAGAGAAAGAGTACTACATACCTGAAGTGCGCTTTGGTGGCAGCGCTAGGGCTTCCAGAGCGAGGGCTCTGCATCTGCTTGTCCAGCTTGTCCTTGAGGATGCGTTCAGCGAGCAGGAAATACGTGGCCGTTATGTGATTGTATCGGTCTGCCTCCAGTGCCCTGCAAAATGACGATGGACAATAATGAACGAGAATATGAGAACAAAACATGAAAATACACTGCAGGCGTACATGCACGTGTACACACGTACACATGAACAGCCCCCCCCTTGAGTGCGGGCCCTCCCCACACTGTGGAGGTCGTGGGGGATAGTTGACTATACTTCACCATGCTGACCATTGCAGATTGATGAAAGTGGTGGGCATAGATACGGTAGCATGGAAGCACAATACAACAAATAATTTAGCCGCGCTGTTTTTGCTACTCTGAACACAGCCGCAACCTATCGGTCGCCTATAACAACGAGGTGTGCATTGCGGTCATTCATCTAAGCACTATCCAGGCTCAATCCTGCGTAGTTTCTGAGATCTGATGAGATCGGGAGTATTCTGGGTGAATTAGTCTGAGGCACAAACTGTGGTACTAACTATAGTACGAGTTATTTTTGTTATTAAACTTTGCGGTGTGAAAGAAATCTGCCCACGCTTTCCATAACTGAAAACGCTGTGGTCATAACACGGACAACTTGATGCAGAATTTGCAAGCAAAGCAAAGAAATGCTTGGCCAAAATTGATGCCGAGTTTTAGGAAGTCCATTATACTCGATAAAACCATAAACATTTGAATCTCCAGATAAAAAGATTATGAATTATGGGTTGTAATCATAACATAGCCCCGATGCATTTTCGCACTGCACTGCGTGTTGTTCAGAATTATGTCCGACGTTTTGTTCCACGTGCTTGCAGCTACTTCAGGAACTGCAGAAACTCCCAGCACATGGCGCAACACACCTCAGAGAGCCACACTGCACAACTGTGAAAGCCTATGCATTGGTGATGAGGATAATACTTTTCAGAGCCTTTTGTCAATCCCCTGTTGGATGAAGGGCTTCACACATTACTCCACCCCAAGCAGTTTGGGTGAAGGGAGGAAGGCAGAAAACGAGAGTGAATGCATTTGCTCATTGTTCTACGAATGTAGGTTCACAGTTCTGCTGCCTAGCTCTCTGATCACACGTTTCCTGGTTGTATCGTGGGGCGTTTCGGCATGACGCCTGGCGTTTTTTTCTCCACGTGCTGGGGACGCTTCTTGAGCAACTCAAGATCCCAGCACGTGGCGAAGCTCCTGGCGCGTAGAGCGAAATTCCGGACATTGTGCCGAAGAGCACGCAGTAACAACCCCCGAAGATACATCAATCGGAGAGGTTCATCCGCTCGTCACTCGCGGTCCTGAGGCCACGTACTCTACGATGGCGTCACGTTCGGCGATGCTGCCCAGCACCATGCGCTGCACGATGCCATTGTGCTCGTCCTCCGACAGGCTCTTGTAGGAAATGAGCGGGGTGCTGCATTTGGCGGCTGGGGAGGGGTCCACGCCGCACAGCCACGGGTGGCCTTCCATCTCCTGCAGCGAGGCGCGGCGGCGTGGGTCGCGCTGCAGCATGCGAGCGATCAGGCTGACCGAGACGCGTGCATCACAGAGGGAAAACACGACAACAACGGCACGCAGTGTCAGTACGGCAGCGCGCACCATATATGTGTGGGCACTTGGTTAAATGCACCGAGTTAAATGATCAAAACCAGAGTGTGTAGTAGGCATGTGAAGACTTGAAGATGCTCTCACACGATACATGCATCAAATTGTGTCTATGAGGAATCAACTATTTAGAAATTATGCGAATGGTTTACGAATGTTATAGTTAGGATAATGGGGCAAATGAGACAGAGTAAATGGAAAAAGTAGACGATTGAGTCAGTACATAGGAGACAAAGGAATACATTATTATAGGTTTTAAATAGAATTATGACCACCAAACCTTGATGAATCACTGAACCATAAAGGGACAGTTTGTGCCACAAGTTAGGCGACGCTCCATCTGTATGTGGTACCAGTATAGCTGTGTATGATATACGTGATGGGAATTCAACTGTACCTTGTATATCGGGTGTTGACCAATTCTAGTTTGCTAGATTGATGTCAGATTATATATTTCTGTAAAGGTTTTAAATATACATTTCTAAAACTACCAGCACTCACGAGCCCTACGAGAAATACTCTACCTAAATGGGTTCTCACCAGGTTATATTAGGTTCATGCATTTATGTATCCCTCTCATCCATTTCTATCAATCACACACCGCCATCCCGAACGTAATAATCATTCCTGCCTGCTAGTTTGCTTATTGATATACTGGTCTGGCTGGCTGCTTTGATAACTGATTCACCTGTCCTTCAAAAATACTTTGCCGGCTTTCATTGCTCAGAAGCAAAAACTGCATTATAGCCGGGCTCATGTGACGACCCAGAGCCATTAGGACAGCACAGCGTGATGCATATTTTATACGGGATACGACAGTTACATAAAAATTACATTACACAGCCACTACATGGCAATACACGTTCGGCAAAACCTCTCTCTATGCATTAAAAGGGTCGAGTTCTCAAGGCACTACGCCGAGACAAACACACTGTACCCATTGCTGCATCCGCATAGCTGGGTCCAATGTGTACATTCCAGGGCAGCGCCTGTGTGGATGTGGCCCATTGTGCAATTGTGTGCACCTGTGTTTGGTCGAGACGGAGTTGTGCACGCTGAAATTTGTGCGATTTGGTGTGTGTCAACACTTTTGTTTTTGTATTTCATCATTGCCAATCACAGCCCAATTGTGTGCCACGGGTGTGAAGGCACCCCCGAAGCACATTTACAGCCCAACCGTTGCCACGGGTGTGAAGGCACAAGGTAAAAATAAACAAGCACCGGTTACTACTCACTCCTTGCACTCGCGAGAGATGTGCGCGGGGACCGTGTACTTGCAGTCCATGATCATGGTGAGCGTCTCGCTGTCGTTAGCTTCCTGGAATGGCGGGTGTCCACACACCAGCATGTATAGGATCACGCCGAGGCTCCAGATGTCTACACCGCACACAAAAACAGCAACAAAATTACACTTTACGCTGGCATCTAGCTTCGCGGTCGTTTGCGAACGCGGCCGAGCACATTCGCCGCCATGTTGATGGTTCGACGCCTGCCGCTGTGAATGCTGAGTAGTCGTGCCGAAGCGTTGGCGGAAAGCTGATGAAGAAAAACGCTTGATGGAACTTGTTGTAGGACAACTTCTTATCAGCAAAAAGTCCCATTTGTTGCATGCGTTTCAGCCGCTCAGTATGAGGTGGTGCCATGTTTTTGCACTCCAAGAAGAGTCCACTGATGAACCGCGAATTCAAAATGTGGCTGCGAGCCATGCACTCTACGACAGCCGTAAACATCTTTGAAAAAAAAACTATGTAAAAGCACTCCATTAGGCGCAAACGCTGGGGGATAAAATTAGTGGGCCCACTCTTAGCGCTCCGACAAGAAAACCCAATGGAATAGCTCAAGGCCTTATCAGTGGGGGTGCTTCAAAGATTTTCCCGTGAGAAATTATGCACTATACTCATATGCAGGCCGATTAACTGGCCTCCATCATTAATCTTTTCTGCAACACACCGAAAAGAAAATTGACGTCCGAGCTGGTAAATGGGGCCAAAGAAGGATGGGGGGACACTGGCTGTGGGGATGTACTAAAGCACACCGTACATTTACATAACATTCTCCCCCACACTGAGTTCTTGTTCAGTATCCCACTTGCTTAGTCAGACAATATCAACGATAACACTAAAATACTTGATCATTAGGCCCGATTTCAATTTATAGGTCATGTTTTTCTTTTTCCTCCGAGTGATATTCGCACAGTATTGTATATTTTTGTTTTGTAACATTATCACGAGTCATTGTTTTAAACTGGCTGGGTTATCAGCATCAGTTTAAAAAAAAACAATGACTGATGTAGTTTTGTTATTCGACACAATTTGCAAACAAAACTATGGATATGAAATAAGTTCACAAAACAAGGTAAACAACTGTCCTTTCCAGTGATGTATTCATCTTTTTTTTGGCTAATGACCAAATCCTACATCCAATACCATCAGATCTCAAAAACGAATAGGATTGGATTGTGCTTGAATGGGTGACCACCATGCACAAACAGTGCTGCAGGACTACACTGTGGGCAGCTAAGCACAATGCAGAAAAAAACAATTGTCAAACTATAGTCATCATACCAGTCACCGATGCTGCGACATAATAGGCTCGTACATTGACATGCTAATCTAATACAATACAACAGCCACTTCCACAGCCTCAGGGAGACCATCTCTAGCCCCGCCCTCTTACCCTGAGGCTGCACCCATCTCAGGCCTACACAAGACCTTGTTCCAGTAGCTTTATCTCTCTCACCTGAAGACGGTCGCTTGTGTTGCGGTCAAAACGTCACAATCTATTAATTTTCTATCAACGTTACTTTACCGAAAGAACCAACGAGTATGTCATACTATACTTCTACGGGTCCCAGACTTTACCAACCTGCACTGACCAACGTTGTGAAGTATACGCAAATAACCCCAAAGGACCTGCACAACAGTGTGGTGAAGCCCTTAACAAGCAGTCAATTGACAAAAGGGCCATGAAGGTGGTCTACATCAGCTGAGCCCCACCTGCTTGGAAGTGGCAGTGTCACAGATGTGAGGAAGGAAGGGACGGGCACGCGCACAAACTTGCTTGGGCCACCAAGACACACCCTCCCAGCATTCCTGATGCCTGACTGATCATCATCAATGACTGCGGGTATTTTTCTGTATGCCCAACGGAATAATTACGAAATGCCATTTAACGGCTACTTGAGTTTCACAACTTGCACCGAATCCAATAAGCCACGACTGGACATATGCAAAATTCAGACAGGAGTGGTCAGTGTGAAGGCTAATTGACCAGTGTGAACATATTCGACCATTTGAGACAGAATGTTGTAAAGTAGACTTAGAAGGATTTTGGAGGACCATGCGATTTCATTTTCAACAGTAGCTCATCGTTTGCTGGGTTTTAATCAAATTTACAAAACATAAAATGTACATCATCGTGAGTCATGGTGAATCTACTGCTGGACAAAGGCCTTCCCAAGCCACCACCATCTCTCATGTATGTTGTATGTTTGTTAAACTTATTTCGCATGGTACGTAGCCAACCGTGCATGCAATCCACCGAGGACCTGTGTTTATGTCATCGCTCCATGTCCTTGGTTGACATCCTCTTCCTTTTGTCAGCTGCCACTGTTATTACTATTCACCATTGGGCCATCATCCCTACAAGCGACGTGTTCTTCCCAAACCCACTTCATTTTCTCAAGTCAACATGGTGCATTTAAATTTTGATTTAAAGCTTTCGTGACTGCAGTAATTCATATTCTTAGCTCTTTCAGTAAAGTCACGTTGAAGGAAAACAATAAAATATATATTTTATTATTTTATTGTTTCCCTTCAACGTGACTTTACCGAAACAGCTAAGAATATGATGCATTTAACTATATAATTTTTTACACAATAAATTATACCGAGGACAAACACATGTTGGGAAAGCATCACAGGCTCCACATGTATGACTGTTTAGTCGTTCCATTTACAAGGCAATAAAGAAAACAACAGATCTCACCCACAGATATTGCAATTCTCCGAGAGTAAGAGCTAGACTTATTTAAGTAACAGCTCCGTTGAGCTGTTACTTAACAAGTGGCTTAGTTATGTAGAAAATCATCTCAAAGCATGCAATACCAATTCGTTCTCTTTTTTTATGTTTTCCACCCTCAGGAAAAAAGTGGTGTAAACAGCCGGGGCAGAAACACGCAGACAGGGCCCCACAGCGTGCCGAGACGTGCCCCTGCGGGGGGTGAGCATCAAGCCGTGCGAACATGCATGCCACCATGTCTCCTGTTGCATGCATGTGCTTGCTCCAACACACAAAGACAAAGATTCCCTTAACAGACTGTTGAGGGGGGGAAGTGCTGTTAACGAGCACCTACGAAGGCCGGCACACGAGGGGGTGGGTGGCCATCACCACGCTCGACCCCCTTTGTCTCCCCAGTGGCGATGTTTATATAAATTGCACCAAGTACTCATTTGAGGCCGAGTTGAGCTATAGGAGGCCCTGGACCGGTTCAGATAATCGTCGCTGGTATCGGCCGTGAACGGGAATCGAACTCGGGTTGCCGGGTTCGTAGTGCAGCGCGCTAACCGCTACACTACCGCTCCCCACAACATACATGCACGCGCGCACGCACACCACCCCAGGGCAATCGCAATCGCCTGCTTACGTGTGCGTACGCAATTATGCAGGTCCATGGGAATGCACTTGCGTGCGTAATTGTGTATGGTAAACAGACACGACCATTTAATCATGCATTTCGTGAAAAAAAAAAAAACCCACAGCTGCCGAGCTTTTAGGTAACACGCGTCCATAATAAGAGTAAGTGGACAGCTCTAGTACTTTCCACCAAGGATTCGTCTAGTAAACAAACATTTATGGTTGATTCAAAACACCCACCATCCACATCAACAGTTCATTCTTATGGTCCTAAGTGTTCGTCTCTGCAGTCCTATTTGGTCAAAATGTACGCACACTACAACGAGACCGGGTACTTCCCCCCCCCCCCCACCGCAGACAGTGATGGTTCTTAGTTTTCATCGCTGACATTACTAAATATTTCACAAATTGGGATTTATAAAAAAGAACGCTTGTGCCAGCAATTAATGAGCTACAAATCTTGGCAGTGGTGAGTTAATTCAACCGACTGGATGCGTCGGCCTTTTTAACACAAAACACAATTAAGTTTACTTTCAATACAGACTTGTTTTAAAAAAGGCTCTACAGTGCTGCATTTCAGCAAGCAGCAATACCAGTCCATGAAAAAGACAGTTCAAGAGCGATTCATTGAGTCTCCAGATCCCACCGAGGAGATGCAATTCACTCATATGCAGGAGTGACATGGATTGTGGCATTCCGGGACTGTGGGGAGTGCCAACAATGTGGAGGCCCTCATCCAGCAGTAGATAGAACACCTCCAATCAGCACGGTTGGCTATGTACGGTGCGAAAGAAGGTCAACATACATACATGGCTGATGGTGATGACAGTGATATCAACATCAACGTTGAGTAAATAATCAAGGCAGAAAAAGAGAGCCTCTCAATTCAGTTCCTGAAGAAGCTCCCAGCATGTGAAATAAAACGTCAGACATCATGCCAAACGGTACAAATCAGAGAGCTATACAGCGCAACTGTCAATGACTACGCAGTACTCTTAATGCTAAGCATGAAGTAAACACTCCAGATAAAAAAAATGCGTAACATTATTCTGGCAATTGCCATTCATTTACCCTGAAGCTGAGAGATAATGAGCCCTCTGCCTAAGACACAGCGACGCGCTGTACAATGAGGAACGTACCCACGGCGGGCGCGTCGTACTCGTCGCCCAGCAGGATCTCGGGTGCCGAGTAGGCGAGCGAACCGCAGCTTGTTGCCAGCTTGGTGCCTGGCTGGAAGAGGTTGCTGAACCCGAAGTCGGTGAGCTTGACGAGGCCCTGCTTCTCGAAGAACACCACGTTTTCTGGCTTCAGGTCCCGGTGCACCACGTGCAGGCGGTGGCAGTACGAAATGGCGTGGACCACCTAACACACGTACACAGGCGGAATTATGTTTTAACGATTTTCTTCTCTCCGTGGGTTCGTGAACCGTCGAGATGCCGCTTTGCAGGTTTCACACCAGAAATCCATAGACCACGTCATCGCAATACTCCAACCACCCCCACTGGCACGCAATCCAATCTCAGATCAATTTCCAGACTATATAGTAAACCCTTGTTAATTCGATACATATGGAGCTCTGGCCTAAATGTCTCAATGGTACTCCCCAGTGCCTCCTGCCACAATATAAAAAAAATATATAAAAATGAGTTTTCCAAACTCTTCGCACACCATACGCATCGACGCGCCTGCATCAATTATATCCAAAAGTTTGGATTTGTCTCGCAGACCAAGGGATTTATACTTCAGTCCCTTTCTATTACTTCTCGATGTAGGTGTAGACGACATTTCTGAGAGGGGCGACTTGCACAGTGCATAAACAAGGTCAAGTCCAAAGCGACCGGTCTGCACTAACGCTCACCACGCACGCCGCTTCTAGACCGAGTCGTTGCTTTGGTCGTGGCGCATGTCGTCGCTCCACGTGCATGCTGAAATTGGACCATTCGGTACGGCAATTCAGCTCATGGCAAATTACTAATACTGTATATACATGCCCCAAAGCGCAGCCGTGTCGAATTATCGCCAATCACGAATTATCAAATAACAAAATAACGAGGTTTTACTGTACTTGCAGTATTCAAGGTTCTCCATGGAATCACCTGTGGTTACCTCTAACCGCTCATCTCACTCTACTCCCTTCCACACTCTCTCAACTCCAGCAACAAAAGCATTCTGTCAAAGCCCCAGTCACTCCTTGAGGGGTCACTCATTTTCTTCTACTGTCCACATGGTCTGGAACTTCCTTCCATATTCTTATCCATGCCGTCATCTCCCTAATCCTATTCAGCAATTCAAGTCCAAGCTCAAGGCCCTTACCCTTTTTTTTCCTCTGCATAGGATTGACTGTCTATATGAAATCAATATATGCCCGCTCATTTTATATAGTCTTGAGATGTGGTTATATTTATATTAGCATGGTTGGCTATATATGGTGCAAAATAAGTTCAACATACATACACAGATGCTATAAAAATCTAGATCGTGTTGTATTGCCATGCTTAGATTTACAAATATATAATTTTTTTCACCATGGGGTATAAGTAGAATCCATAATGGCTACAGTGTTGCCATGAACAAAGCACATACAAAAATGTGTAATGGAAACAATTGATTCTTACATGCACATTTTGATGTTTGCTTCATAAGCATTTTAATACATTTTAATGGATCATCTGTTGCATTCATACTTGGTATAGCGGTGAAAGAGTGAGTGTATCCTACACAAAGTGCTGATTTCACTGCAGAAGGACATTCTTCCTCCAATGAGGTGTGGTAAGCCTATCTATTGTAAATTTGATACACTCATGTGCAGTGTGCAGCACAATTGTGGAGTACTATTTATTTAGCTGGACACATTGTATATTCAAAGAAAATTAATGTTTGCAAGATAACTCCGTAGCACGTAATGTAACATGTCATGGAGAACCTTGAGTAAGCTCCTCGATGCTACACAGCAAGACTCTAAATCCATTTGCCAGGCATTTTCAAGTAGGTACACAGAGAGACTCCAGTACCTCGAGGGAATTTTGGCAATAGGAATGAGAAATGAAGGAAAAGTGAAAATAATAAATACTGAAACGAAAGAGAATGAGATTCTAGATTTGAAGCTTTCGTGACTGCAAGGATTCATACTCTTTGGTTTTTTCGGTAAAGTCGTGTAGGTAAAAAAAAAGAAAACTAAATTAAATCACCTATGTGATTTTACCGATAAAAAACAAAGAGTAGAATGAATGAGAACATGGGAGGAAATGCAGAAAAAGGGACCAAAGCTTTTAGCCAGATGGGGAAATAATGTGCGCAGCTGGGGGTATTACAACAAGCTCTGCAGTGTATTTAGGTCAGTGCTCAATTATTTTTTGCACCTTGTCGCACGACCCGTCAGCAACGTGCACATTCCCGGCCGTGAGCGTCAGTGAAGTGACGGCAAATGTTCACGGGGTATTTGGGCGCTGAAAATGGGGCGCGCACCTGGGCAAAGTACGTCTTGGCGAGCTCTTCCTGCAGGCCCCCTTCGTGCCGCATGATGTAGTCGTAGAGGTCCCCGCCGTCGGCCAGCTCCAGGATGAGGTAGAGCTTCGTCTGAGTGTCGATGACCTCGTAGAGTCGCACCACATTGGGATGCTGCACCAGCTTCATGCACCGCACCTCCTGCTCAAAAAAGCACGCAAGTGCGGGGGTCAGGCGAGTCGGTGACGCCCAGGTTCGGCCGCTTAAGCAACCAACAACAGTTAAATCATCCCAAATGCACCCAATCTCGTGGAATCTCCGATGTTGAACAGGGTTGACCATGGTTTAGGCTGCAATGTGGCACGAAAGCAAAAGGTTAAAGAATAAATGAGTGTGAAGCTTCGAGTGTTACCCCCTTGTTTGTGTTGGGTTTTCTCTGTGTGCTAGTTTCTTCCCACATGTTAATCAACCATTATTGGATTGGTCAAAAATCCCAACGTAGGAGACTTGAAATGGCGTTTGAGTCTTCGTGAGCCTTTCCTACATAAATAAAGGGCATTATTGGTCATATTTTTCTAAAAAGAGTGTAGCTTAATCGTTACTAGATGCATATAAAGGAGCAACAGGTGCTGATCTGTCAACCTCTGCTCTTGTAATTCTTACCACCTGGGAAATAGTGAGTGTCAAATTGATAGATCGCCAACTCACACAAGAGTCTAAACCATAAAGGAATGACGACAATGTTCTCAAGACAGAATCACACCAGCATAGTGTGTCGCAAGTAATGTTTTTAAAGCACACACACTACCAGAGAGCCGACGTATCTGGACTTTAACTTCATGTCAAAAACCCCTATAACCCAAAAAATCATAGCCAGCTCAAGCAACCAATCGCATAGACACAATTATCTTCACTATTAACCACGTTAAAGCACGCGACAGCAAGAGGACCTTTGTGCGGTGACAACCTTAAAAAGATCCAGAGCTTTGCAATTGGCATGACAGGCATACCTCTACTCTCTTTGTTGAGTGAGCTAATGAGATTTGTCTTGCTTCCTAAATGGCAACCACAGCTGGCACGAGGCTGAGGTCCCAGTTGCTAATAGTTTGCATCTAAAGCAACCGCAACCGGTACATATGCACGGCTCATTCATTTATTCAGCTGCTGCTATTTGTGTGACTTAATGGCCCAAAGAGTGTGCGTCGAAGCCAGATACAAATTGGTGAGAAGTAAAGCATGAACATCAAATGTTCACTTACAAACTGTTCCATGTTTTTACACAAATGGTGATAAATTGCTTGATCTGCAAGTTGCCCCAACCCTTATCATCAAACATCAACTTCTTAAGAGGAGAAACAAAAAACAGCCCTTTATCAATTACACACATTCATCAAAATACAACTGATCATGAATGTAAATATTAGGTTAAGTTAATTTTTCCGTGGCATATCTAAATGCGCTTTTCTTATTTAAAACGAGGAAGTTTATCTGTAATGCCCGTGTCTTTTGATCTTTGCATTTAGCGCAAAGAGCATGGAAAATGTACGCATTATTTATTTATTAGCCACACCAGATGTATGGCAGTGGATAACACAAGCTGGCTTGGTAGTGTAACAGCGGCACACTGTACTTTATCCGTTATTTATGCGGCATATATTTGAAGATATTAAGGGGACACAAGGCACTATGTAAACAATTAACTGGACCTCTAGAACGCTTTTTTTTATCTAAAGCTGAATGAGGGCCTCCCCCATGCCTGTGCAATTCATGAGGGCTATTGACCATACTTCCCCATGATGGTCAGTGCAGGTTGGTGAAGGTGGGGCACGTATATACTAAAGTAGAGAAGTACACTACAACAGTGAATATGTTAAACTTTCCTCTACTGCCCACCGCGTATCTTCGAAGTCTCCACGAACACCTGTATGTACAAGGTGGTCACTCATCCAAGCACTATCCATGCTCAAATCTGCCAAAAGCTTCTGAGACCTGACAAGATCGGGCACATTCCAAGTGGTTTTGTCAGAGGCTGTTAAATGTATGATCCTTAGATGTAAAAAAAAACAACATCGGATCTGCCTATTCTCAAAAGCAATTCTAAAGAATGGAGGTTTCTCTATGACTCAACATCACACACTAAAGTACCCTTGCAGAGACAGATGTTTTTAAAATACCCATTAAAAATGCGGTTACTGTTGGGTCAAGGATTTTTATAGCAAAGCACTGTTGACCTTAAGCTTTCATAGGGTTGTCTTGTGTACACTGCACCACGTGATGCATAAGATAAATCACATCCATATATACACATTTGCAGGTTTTTTTTTCCGATGTACCAATGCAATATTTATTTATACGTTTACTCATTTTTGGCTTTGGAACATACAATTGGACTATGTAAAAAGCACAGAAACCTTTTAAGAATTATATTTTAATGAAATAAATATATTCCAATATCATTTCTTAATAAAAATAACGTAGTGCAAACACACGAGCAAATTACGATATTTCACTGAAAAAGCACTTAACGGCCATTTCTGTAGATTTAAAAATATTATAGCAATCAGTAAAATGGAAGTGAAATAAACATTGAAAATGTAATGCACCGGTTAGCTCAATTTAAACCAAAAGCTTTTACGGCATCTCCCAACTCTGCTCATGAAATATGTAATTTCAAATACGGCTGTACATTCCACAAGCATCGATGCTGAATACAACAATTGTTATCGCTAGAGGATATCAGGTAAAACCGGACAAGTCGGTGCACATACGTCAAGTGCACGAAGCTCACACCGATCCCCTCCAATATGTTGACTTAAAAAAAAAGATTCCAATGGCTTTCAAAGCAGCCAAATAAGGACTGTGGCTCGCACCGACCAACTTGGAGGGTGGCACGAGGCAAAGTGAACATTTATCACCAAAACGAGCCACCATGAAGAATGTTCTGGGGGTCCCTTATGAACACAGCATGGGGGTGGGGGGGGGGGGGTAAATAATCTACATAAAGAGGTAATTTTGGCTCATACCATCTCCATTTATTCAACCAATGTTTTCTTTTAAAATATATTCCAATTGCTATGGGAATCATGTTAGGAGATGAAATGATAATATTTTTTGGTGCCGTCAAAAGTGACCACGTTGAGACAATCGGTTTGCCATACTCAAGAACATAGCTTTAAATCATGGGTGGCTAACTGGATTCAAACCCAGGCCCTCAGCAGTGGAGGGCTCAGTACTTTGACATGGTCGTCCCAGAGCCACCCTGCAACTTCAGTACAAGTCATTTATATTTATTACAGTGATTAGAATGTGGTTCTTTGGTGCCAAAACTCCGCAGGCATCCTTACATAATTCCGCTGAAAACACAACTACAGAATTCAACTGCTATTTCAATTCCACAACTATTATTCCAAATCCAGCCACTGTACAACTGAAAAATGCATCAAGGAGCTCCATGGGAAATGCCACTGGGATTTTGCCCAGACAGACTATGCCGCGTAGAATCGACTTGACCGTACTGCGTAAATGCACTCTTTTACCACCCTGTTGGAATCGTGGACCCATAGACCCATGGTCCACAAACTAATTCACAAAAAATATACAAGGTGATCAAATGTATTTGTGAACCATTGGAATTGTCAAATATACGCAGCTCAGATTAGCATAAGAATCCTAAATTTGATTTATTGTCTTTTAAATTATTGCCCAAATATCATCTCCTGGCAGCTTGGCAAATGCATCAAGTGCCAGCCCAGACCATTTTTTTCTCAGCAAGCAAGGCTGGTAATTATTGTAGCGTTTAATAAACAATTCAGACGGACGGTCTTCCAACACCAATTTAGTCGGATAGTTATGTGGCCTAACCCTAGAATTATGAATCTCAGAAAATGTTCCAATACGGGTCTTAAAAAGACATGTAATTGTTAGTTGTTTGCACAACATTAAATTATCCATGATGTTTACTTTGCAGGAGGTGCCCCTCAGTTAATGCCATGGATTCTAACCACTACTGAAATCTGATGTCTGTCAAGAGCTGGGATAAATTCATGTTAAAATAGGAGCAGAGTTTCATGGACCTTAGTGAATTAAATGAGAGTTTTAAGCAAATCAATTAATATGCAGACACACAACCAAACAAGTGCAGTAGTCAGTCATAATGGTTTGGTGTGTGGGGGGAGTGTGTATTTTGGCAGTGTGAACCAACTTTTAATTACATTTAGAAAACGTCCTTAAAAGTGACTTTGGAACGATGTGCCAAACAAATGTTAAATACTGCAGCCTAATTATTGACATATAATATACGTATACATATATAATTTTCAACACTACAGGGTTGTGTATATCTTTTATAATAATAATAATTTTCAGCGTCGTATTAATTCTCAATTGAAGCAAACCCCATGCCGTGTGGATCATCGGTGTTGTTTAATCATAACTTCACCACACTGGTTAATTTAGATTGGTGTAAGACCGGTTTCATTTTCCACTGCTGTTAGCCGTGGCTGGGAATCAAACATGGGTCAGAGTACAGTGTGCTAATCACTGTCACTGCTCCACACCCTGCATGCCTCTTATGGTTATAACATTTTTTTCCAAAGGATGTTATTGTAAGTATCCAAACTAGGCAGGCCCATTGTTATAAAATCAGTCACATTTGGAGAACAAAAAAAGCATCACCATTACTCATCTATAGGCAATTAAAGTACTTCCACTCCATTTCACATATTATCTTTGTGTTCCGAATGATTTCAGCTTCACATTTCTGCAGCAACACATTTCATAATTTGTTGGCACATGTTGTGCTTTCAAACGGAGGGGTATGGGTCGGAGGGGACAATGTGTTCCATGTGCCAACGCGGGTGGGTGTCCGGACAAAAGTTTAACGTACAAGTCACTCTGAATGAGATTCACGTACCATCTGTGGCCATGTATCAAATCATCACCACCAACACCATTAGCCCACCAAACTCGTTAGGTTGCCCGCAGTCAAAGTCTGTCCTAATTAACCTCAACCAGATGTTCTTGTTTTGCAAATTCCTTTCATGGACAAGCGGACTTAATTTTTCGAAATTATTTGCATATGTACTGAATGTCGTCAGTTTTCAATGTTGTAAAAGTACGACTACAATTTTCATAAACATCTAAAATACAAGCTCCACCTGCCCATAGAGACAGATATATGAAAATATGTGCATGTCTGTATTCTCCCAAGCCCAAAGCGACTACCCAATCCACTTATCACATTAAATGTTTTACCATACCCTTAAGCATATATACAGCCTTTTTATTTATCCATTGCTGGATAAGCCTCCCCCACGCCGTCCATGTCAGTCATGTGGGATATATGACCATACTTCACCACGATGGCCAATATGGGTTTATGAAGGCAGGACGCATAGACATTGGAATGTAGTACACTACCAAATGGATTTTGCTGCACTTCCCTCTGCCAACTCCAACCTGCTGAGCTTATGAGATTTGGTGAATTGGGTGACGTGGTCATCAGCTTAAGCACATGCGGAGTAAATCTAAATCAGAAGCACGCACGTTCCTTTGGTGTAACGATGATAGAATATTACAATGTTTAGTGTGGGACAAAGGCACAAAACACGACCGTGAGTTTTGGCAACATAAGTCAAGAGCAGATGGCGGAGTTTCCATGCCAGAGGTGTATACAGACACCTACAATTATGCATACCTAAAGTACCTTTATGCCTACAAAGGGTATGGGTTATGATAACAGTAATAAGTCTGCTCATTCAAGAAAACTTCAGAGTATTCAAATGTTTTCTGTGTGGGTGAGGAAATGTCTTTTGGAGAAGGCCCGTAATAAGATGTTTGGTTAATTCACTTGAAATATTGCATTCTGGCTTGAATCTGGAATACCCATAGAAAACAGACCAATATAAATGGAACAATAATCAATTAACCATATAAATAAGTTCAACACCTACTTTCTATACTGCAATCCAATTGCCACAATGTAATGATGCAAGTGGGTTTAGCACAATTAAAATAACTCTGGATATTCATCATTAATCATTGCCTTCTAACAGATAAAAGCCATAAGAGCCTAAAGTTTTGGGGGAAATGGTCTTTCCTCAAGAGGATAGAGATCAGAGGCTGAGATACTCTGCTGCATAGGGGTTCACAGCTGTGCTGTATAGCCCTCCGATGCGTTTCGCTTAACGTGCCGGGGAGCTTCCTTTATGGTTCCTCTCCACAGGCTCTCCCAGCACTTGGGAGAAAAATGTTGAATATCATGCCGAACAACACGCGATACAACCCGAAAACACATCGGTGAGCTGTGGGGATTAGCATAGTTGGGAGCAGGCACTTTAAAAGTGGATGTTATACACACAGTATAATGTCTGCACCAAGATCCACCAACTTTGCCTCCAAAGAAAGGGCTCGATCATCACAAGGCTTGTGACACGTTGCGTGGAGTGCTGCAGACTCACCTGGAAGAGGTGGCTGGTGGCCATAGGGTCCAACTTGCTCTTGTCGATGACCTTCACGGCCACCTTCTCCCCCGTGAAAACATGGCGTGCCAACTTCACGACGGCAAAGTGCCCGCGTCCCAGTGTCTTCTCCAAGTCGTACAACCCGGCTATCTTGCCCGCCTCCATCGCGTGCAGCGTTGCAATCACTTCCAGTTTACGATGAGGCAGGCTCTCGCGCACTTTGGAACTCACAAAGGCTGTCCTCGGTCTCGTAGTCTTCAAAAAATGCAATGAAATTGTGTTTTTTCTAGCGTTGCTCGATATCAGAAAACTGGAACAAATACAGCCATGAGGATAAACTGACCTACTGGGTGATAACTATGTAACAATTAGCAAGTAATTTAACATGCTCTGTGAAGCAAAAGACATTTTAGATGCGAGGCGTTTTAAAGGTTTTTTTGTGTTGGTAAGATGTGCCTAACTTCAACGAGGCACACTAATGATGTATTAATCTTCCCTGGAGAAGCCCAAGGTTGTTTTGAAGAATGACGTACGTGTAGGACATCTTGCTTGGCACTTCGGTAAATCAGTTGAGAAGCACTAAATACTTTCTACTTGAACCATCACGATCTCATTCAATTAACAAAGCAGCTGCTAGTGTCTGTCATTAAAATGAAACTAGTTAATGCCGGATGATAGAATGTGTTTTTTTTATGTATATCAACAATGTCTTCCTTCTTAAATGATAACAACATCCTTCAACATGGTGTGTTGTAATTTTCCATCTTCACTTAGAAGTAATGTCCTTAAAAAACCGAGTTCATTGTTGTCATTACCTGTGAAAAAAAGTACAAAATAATACATGATCACATTTACAGTATTTAAAACATTCAACAAGTACCAACCGTGCTACTAAATGAGAAACAATTAGATGTACTGGATGCATCATGCATTCAGTCACAACCGAGTACCAGGCATCATTCTGTTAAGACTATGTACTGGCTGCACTGAGTAAATAAAAGATGGAATTCAAAACAACAACTATGCATGACTAAAGCGATACGTAACAAGGTAGGGCAGACCTGGTTGTTTAATCTGCACCGATCTGTAGCTTTGTCGTGCTGGCAGGGACGCTTATAAGATACACATCAATATGTCAAGTGGATGAAAGCGGAGTGAGAAAACGCACGGTGGTATAAAAATGGAGTAGAAAATTGTGATGGATGGTTGTTGGAACGGTGGAGTGGCTGACTGTGGGTGGACAATGTAGGATTCTGTTTGCATAGTCATTCCGGCTGAGTGCAAATGCCAATCACAACCTTCATGGTAAAATTATTTTGGATAAAGTATAGTATTTTCCAGCACCTTAAATCTACCCAAAACGTATCTTCTGCATTCGATTCGGCGAATTTGCTGACAGTTTGAGAATGTGTCCATTGCTTGTAGCTTTCAAGTAGATGTTATGTTACGCTCAAGATGTTTATTTAAAGGAACAAATTACTTGTTGTAGAAATAGCTGTTTCCTCTCTTGTGAATTCCATTAGAACTCAACAATGCCGTGGTGCATTGTGCAGAAAGTACTTAAATGCATGCAATGCATAATCTCACAGATGAGCTTATAAATATTTTGTGACTTTTAATGTAATATTGTTCTACTAAGCCATACATATAAAGATACATTATATTTTATATTCATGTAAAGATTTTATAATATTATGGTGCTTTGTCTATGGCAATTTAACCCATAATGTATCAAATATCATATCTCATGAGAAAAGCGCGTTTGTGCGCCTTTGTAGCCCGTGGGTGGCCATACATGGGTATGATAGGCTGCTGCTGCTGCGTTATTTTGTGAACACCAGAGGACAAAACAGTTAAAACTATTGTTATATTCCACTAATGTCGCCCCCCCCCCCCGCATTCACCAATCCACAAATAACAGGCATGGTGGTCAGTTAGCTCCCGTGGCCTACACGCCACGGGATTGACAAATAGTATTACCATTATAATAGCCAACTCATTTGATTACAGAAGGCTAAACAACCTGATTACTCTAATAAGAGGCTGAAGTGGGTTAGCAGATAGTCAGACCTATCTCCAACCCTAATCAGATTCAGCCTCTTAGTGGAAGTAATGAGGCAATGTAGCCGCTTTCAGGAATGAGCCAGAAAGGGGAGCCAACTTCAGTCTAATACATGTTCACCACCACCACCACCAACACATACCACGCATTATGGACTGCCAGAGGCATGTCAGTTGAGAGCGTATAGTACCAGTTTCTGAATGGCTTAATGTATTTTATTTATCCAAAGGACAGCAGAATAAGCCTCACAATATCCTTCGTAATGTGATATCACATAACATTGTTACAATAGCGCAGTTATACAATTTACAACCACAATTTTTAGATATGGAACTTGAGTAACGATGCCAACACATGATGGTCGTGCTTTGTCATCAGTTATTATAGACACTTAGTCTGTGGTTGTTAATTTGACAGGTTTAGCATTCTTAATTTTCTTATGAAAAGAATACACCTTTGTGGTTCTAGTATTTGAAAATCTACCTGTCGAGCCTTTGCAAACATGCCATATAAATAATATGGGCACTGATCACTAACTCAAGCCACGTTATCAAACAGCCGCAGACTGGAGGAGCGAACAGTGAGAAACGAGCCATTATAGCAGCACGTGGCCAAGAAAATACACACGCATCACGGATCACCTTGGTAAGCTGTGCACAAACAGGTGGTAGTTGTGATGTTCGTTACCTTGGTGGATGGCAATGGAAATCGTAAACGTAAAACGAGTGAATGGAATAATTACTCAAAATAGTAAGAAGCCAATTTCTAATTGTGGAAAGTTGCACACACGGCAGCATAAAAGTATCGTTTATAAATGTGCCAGGGCATAATGCTCACCTGACAATTCTCTCTGGAGCTGGTGGAAAAATACAGAACTTATTTATGGAATTCAACAAATATTCCAATAGAGCATCTGCCTGGAAAAAAAGTCTAGTCTTTTTCCTGCATAAATACAGTTTATTATGATCATATTTCAATATGTACAATAAAATTACAAGGGCTATCTAAATTGCTTGGCGAGTGTCTTTAATTCATTGGCAGGTGAGAGACTACTTAGTGGAATAAGTCTGAACAATAATCCATGACTTTGCCACTCTATATACTGTACTGTAACCTGCAGTACACGCAGGGCCATCTCCAAGCCTCAAATGACAGTTTTTGGCAGCCACTGCTGGCCCGGTTGACATTGGCTGAGAGGACACCAAATGTGCTTTTGCTTGACAGCTGTCACGATGAAGTTACAACGAGAAATTACAACTACCTTGAACGCTGAATATGCCCGAATCCTAATACCCAATCACCCACCTCTGAAGAGGCTGCCCCAAAGTCGTCAGATCTTAAAATATAGGAATGTTTTGAGCCTGGTGTTTTGTACAGATTTCCTGGGAACCTGTGTTGCGAGGCTGGTTAGTAGAGGAGATGGCATACAAGAACGGATTCTTCAATCTATCGTATTATGTTCCTGGTGGGGCTACTCCACACCGCTCATTACTCAGGAGAAAAAAAATCGTGGCCACACATCCTCTAATGTAGCAGGAATCTGTGAAATAGCCTTGAGTTTCAAGGAAGCTTTCCTTGGGTAAACAGACATTACGTAACGCGGAGCAAAACGCAATGGGGGAAAAAAACATAATCTTAGCAGTAGTAACCACAGTCCGTGGCATCTTGAACGCGTGTATTATAGTCCGGAGGTGTGTTTTGTTGTTGGTGTAATTGTCTACACGGTTATTGCTGCTGTTATCGGCACTGCCAGCAAAATACTGCACTGCCTCCTATAAGCGCTTCATCACTGCAGCCCAAGAATACACACACACAACTCCTTGTCAAGTCTTCTCTCGCCGAAAACCCCTGGATATTGCTAATTTAATTCGTACAAACACACGGGCGAATAATAAGAAGCGTCCGGGCAACATTCGCCGCTATTACAGCCGCAATATCTGCGGTTAAAAAACATTTAATCAAGTTTTACCGCTGCGGCCTAGCGCGCTCTAAGCTCCCCTCGTGAGCCTACGCACTTTCCTAGCGCGCCCCGCCGATGTTGAGACGTGCGCCTCGGTATCGCGACCAGGCGGCGGACCGTGGGGTTGGCGGCGGCGGTGATGATGATAAGAGATTTGTGGTTTGACGTTCGTCGTGACGGTGGCAGTGTTTGTGGTGGCGCGATCGAGACGTCTCCACTGACCTGGCCGTGCCCGCATTGCGACGAGGGCGACGAGGACGACGACGAGAACGCCGCTTGCGGACGCCACTCGCTGCTCAACGTTAAGAGCCCGGGATCCGGATCGCTGGGAGTTTAAACGTCAGAGGCGGGAACCGGATCCAGTCAGCAAGCCACTTTAGTGGCGGGGTGGCCCCATGCTGTCAATTCCACTGTTGACAATGAGAACGATTTTTATTGATGTTGAAATTCGTACCCGAGGAAATTCGATGATCCCTCCTCCATCCAGCAGTGGATTTGGTCGCGGCTGGAATTGCTGATGCTGATTGATAGGCCGGAGCAGAAATTGGCACCGTTTATGTTGATTTGTTGTTCGGTAGTAGCAAGGTATTGACAGGGGGGAATAGGGCTAATAACATTATTATTTGATATCCCACTCATGTCAAAGAGTGTGGTTATTTGGCCGCATAATTTAATTGGGACAGCCAACGTGATGCTTGCCACCTCGGGTGGTATGAGCAAGTGAAATCACTGCTCTAGGCACATTGGACTATGATGATTGATGATGATGGATTTAAGCAAAATTACTGGTGTTCATTTAAACTGCCGACGGTTGATGCGATTAATAATAACAAATACTGTAATTCGTTTAAATGAAAGACAATTCATATTTAATTAGCACAATTTGTAAAAAATATATATACAACTGATAAAACTGTATTAACTCATTCTTCATTCCTGCAATCAATTTAAATACGATACAAAATTAATCACTGTTATACAATACATACAAATACAATCAATTTATCATGTTAAATTTGGGGTGTATGCTTTATTTGGCTCATTGCATTTCTAATAATTAAACATTTCAGTTTGGTTGTTTGAAATAGTCATTTTTATTTACTATGAAAAGTATAGCTGCCTGAAGCATCACCTTTTGTTCCCCTTAAAGCAGTGTTCGACGCATGTGTTGAGTTTTGGTTATTTTTGCTTGTGCACCACTGCCAATCCGTTACTACCAAATAGTACATTTATCTCAGCAGCGTATGTGCATTGTTCCCCTACTGTTGAAAAATACATCTGATAAAATGACTTCAGAGGTAGTCCTTTGACACAGGGTGGTGCTCTAATAGTTGTAGGCGTCACAAATAGAGGTGTATTCGTCTCATTAAATAACAATGATGGGATTAGCGAGTCTCTAGGCTTTCTGGACCAAGGATTAAATCTCTTCCGCCGGCTTTGACTTCATGACTCTCATAATCAGAGTGTATACTGCATATTAAGAAAAATGTCATTAATTCATATAGGAAAGCCTCACTGAGGGCCATCACTTTTCCATGAAGGTCAGTCATTGGGATGTTTGGGAGGACACTTGGCCACAAGGAGAAAGCCCATCGCGCAAATGAGGGCTTAACACTCATCAAAGCTCTGCACACGCAGATTGATTGACCCACTTGCTGTACTGCCATCGGCTGGTCACTTCACAGTCCAGCGAGTTGGACATTTTCTGAAAATGATGTGACCCAAAAATCCCCTCACCTCCAAAGCGCTGGAGGCATGGGCTGCATTTTGCGTTTGAAAATCTAATTTTGTTGGTGGAAAATGTAACATCAATGGCTGTTTTTATTCCATGTTTTCCAATTTCGGTGAGAGCTGGAGCTGCAGTGCACGATAGACAAAAGCAGCTCATATCATTACTCATCCTGTTCTGCGCTTAACATATGTTTGAAGTTTGTCTCAGAGCGACTGTATTGTGCCCCCCCCCTGTGAGTTGGTTTTGTATGCCCCCCTTTAAACAAGGTCACACTGCAGGATTGCTCCTGTATAATGTGATGTCATTTAATTTAACCAGGTGGCGGTTCAGTAGCAAGTTTCATAAAACATCTCAAGTGGAAAATATGCTTAGTTGGCACTTTTTTACAATCAACCACAAGTTAGAGAAAGGGGACCCTTTCCTTAAGTATGAAGCTTCGTTCGAGACCTTAAGAGCAACCATGGCAATGTGCCATCGCCTTAATTTTCACTGCAGTGACGTTATGGCTGTACTCTGGCGGCCTCTCCAGAATGTCACATGAGCGTATATATTCATTATAATGAAGGGAACTGCAATCTCACGTCGAACATCCTTTGACTCACTTTTTGTACACTTTGAGCAAGTGAGAACCTGGCTACATAATATATTCCGTTCTGTTTTTTTTTTGCAATGAGACCTTGGGATCACGTACTGTGGATTTATAGGAATGGTGTACCAATCAACATACCCCTGACAATGGACTATGGAAATTCTATGAGATGAGTGTCTCCTCACACTCTTTACAGCGTGAATAGAACGAACCTTTCTAATGTGAATGGAGTTATGAGATAAAATTGTATTGTCTGTTATTTTAGTAATTAAAAATATTTAAATTTAGCCATAATTATTTTAAAATAAATTATCCAAAACCTCGCAAAGTAATTTTTATTGAGATACAAAAAATAAACACATTTGCAGCATTCATTTTGAATGTTGATTTTTTTTTTATTGTGCTTATGCACCACTGCCGATGCAGTATCACAAAATAAATAGCTTTTATCGAGATACCACCATTATTTATTTTGCAAGGGAAACAATCCTGCCAGAAGTTACAAATAGTATTGGAATTTAGTCATAAAAACCTGCAAGAACACGAAAACACATGCACTATATAACTAAAATAACAACACACCATGCATCGCAATGGACTTTCACCTGCTGAAACAAATCACACAGCGTGTTGGATCACATGATGGAAAATAATGCAACGAGGTCTCCCAATCCACAGTAGCCTGAGCACAACGTTCAGGACTGACCTTTTTTTGTTATACAATACACATCACACCGCAAGCAATATACATATGCAGGTACATGCACAGCCCTTTTGTCAGGACACTGCTGGATGAAGGTTGCTTGGCCAGCCTTCACGCTGGTGTGCAAGTTCGTGAATGGGATTGCCCCAGGACGGGTTCAAGTATAACTCGCCACTGATGCTCAGTTCGTAGTGCAGTAAGCTAACCACTGTGCAACCACTCCCCCTCCCCACAGACAGTAGGGATGTGTACCCGATTCTAGGATATATCCGAAAAATCTGAAAATCAGGCCGAGATATGACATTTAGGATCATACAAATTTTTATTTGGAAATATGACGAACAGGAAATGTGTCACGAATATGACGTTATGCCCCAAATGTTGCCAAATCATATGGTGCCATGTGCAATCTGTTGATGACAATTTTGTTCGTGTGACTACATGTTAAATTGTTATTGAAGGTAAAGATCCCAAACCTGGTTGATATGAAATTGTCTTTAACAATAACAAAATCTGACATGCTTAATCTCAAACTCATCCCGAGTACAGTACACAGTTAGCACAATACATCGTGCTATGATTGGACCTACCATGCCAAATTCATGCAGTGGCTCATTTCCTCATACCTGTCAAGCTATGATTAAATATAGCAATACATCCTGCAGTCTACTTGGAGAGGGGCAAAATAAATGCAAATTCACAAGTGAAATCATCATATACTATTTCACGAAATGACATGTAAATTGCCTCTTTAATTAAAAGCTGCATTGTTGAAATATAATGCACATGACGTTCTGTAATTAGATATCATCAAATGCTATTATAAGACACTCTGTCCCTGGGGCGTTAGGCCTTAAGAAAATTAATTTCCAATATTAAATTACTGTTGGGAGAGCTGTGACGCAGTGGATAGCGCACTGCATTATAACCCTGGCTCACCAAATTTGATTCTGGACTTGCTTAACATCAGTGGTAAGGCACATCTGAACTTGAGTTATATTTATAAAAAAAACATGACCGACAGTATCAGAATCGTAATTTAGCCTGGAAGAATCTGATGAGCTATGAAGCTCTTTTTCACAGATGTCCAGTATGAGGAGGCTTTCATCCAGCAGGATTGAAAAATGGTTTGAGGAAATGTATTTCAAGGTCAAGAGGTCATCAAGGCCGATGCCGCTGATGCCACCACACCCAGCCGTCACTTCCTTCCTTCTGCGAGGTCCCAAATCTGTTGTAAAGTCAACATCCCTCTTCCATTATATACTATTTACATCGATGCACAACTAAATAACATTATAAGAACGTACATACCGTATCATAATAACGTTAAGGCAATGATTTGGGTTCTGTATACTGCATCAGCCTTTGACCAAATCATCCAGAATTCAAACTGATCTCGTCATATATTTGAATGCTCAGCAGGCTTTTACGCCTGGTGGATAGTGCTTGGATGGGTGTTCACCATACACAAACATAAAACACTGAACACACTCGGTAATTACATTACCTTAAAAGAAAAAGAAAACACATGCACGAAGAAGTAGTCACAGGGCTTGTGGGTCTATGTGGTGGGAAGCAAAGAGCAGTAGAGCAAATTCGATTTTTGGACTAAAACTTCTGTAATCCTGTGTCGACGCAGTTCTCCAATTTCACCAAACACACGGTGGTCACAAAACCGCTCATAAACGACACACGTCGTTGGGGTTAATCCTCGTCCAGCAGTGGAATGAATAAAGGGTTTCAATGGGCGTATATCAAAATAAGTTTAAGATAAAGATCTGGGTTGTGCTGCATAAGTGTGGGGAGTGCCGGCGCAGTGGTGAGCGCGCTGTGCTACCAAACCCGGTCGCTCAAGTTCGATTCCCGCTCACGGCCACCAACACCAGTGACAATTATTTGAACCGGTGGTGGGCCTCCCCTAGGTTGACTCAGCCTCAAATGTGTATCTGGTGTAATGTGTAAACATAGCCACGAGGGAGACAAAGACGGCGGGGCGTGGTGCTGACCACCCCCTTGTGTGCCGTGCCTGCCTTCATGGACATCCGTGAAAAAAAGTTTTGTAGCTCATCGGATTCCTCCAGTACAAACAAATATGCTGACTCCGATGTGTGCTACTCGCTGACAGCACTTGCCCCAAACAGTCTGTTAAGACTATAGGGGAGAGGGGGGGAGGAAGGGATGCTGTGTCTTTGTCTTGCAGTGTCAGCGTGTGCGTTTGACAGGCAACCGGATCCCAGGGCAGAACTCATCTCGGCGGGGGGGCCTTGACGTCACGCAAATGTTGTGTTTGTAAACCCCCGACTGTGAAACACCTCGGGGGGGGGGGGGGGGGGGGCTGGGGTTTGTCCCTGCGCTCCGCTCTCGCCGCACTTAAACTTAGCCGCACACGCGAGGTTCAACGTTGCGACACACAGAGGGGAAGGGACGGATTGTTGGGCAGGCGCTCGTTTTGTAAGTCTTCGAGGAGGGAGGAGGAGGAGGAAGCGTGAAGCGGAAACAAAAATCAACAAACAATACGGGTGATCCGTACGTAGATTACCCCATTGGTTTATTATGGCCGCTGACTTTCTTCCCAACAGCGCCGATTGAATGGGCTATTGTGCAAGCGACGCCATGTGGCTCCGTGTGTTGGAGAACGATGTTGTCTTAAATACCCCAAGTGTACGGACGGGTGTTGAGATTGATTGGGAGGCTTGCAGAGGCGCTGGGATTAAATAGCCGTTTTCTCGATACAGCCAGTTCCCACTGTTGTTTTCATGGGGTTATCCCTCAATGTGCAGGATTGACACAGTCGCTGGAAGTGATGATGCTCTCAAGGTCAAAACCATGGCTAGCCCATCGAACAAAGACGGCCACTGCATCGCGCGCTTTCAGATGCGCTTCTGCGTCTGTCTGGAACGCTTTTCCTTCCGATGTTAGGAAGCCACTGGAGCTAGAGCACTTTTAAATCGAGATTTAAAAGCGAATTTCTTTAGAGCTGCGTTTTGTGTTTAGTTTGTTGTCCTTCCCCCGGCACCTCCGACGAACACGGTTGGCTACGTACGGTGCGAAAGACGTTCAACATACGTAAACCCATAGAGACACGGATATACCCATAGAGACTCGCATTAAAAGTTCAACATATATACATCAAACTATTTGAGGTCCATTGAGCAAGATGGAGCGGTGACATCGGCCATCGTGCGGGTGATGAGTAAATTGTTGCATTGCAGTCTCATGAAATACAGTGTTTGGGGAGGCTTTCATTCAGCAGTGGATTTATCATGGCCTATTCTGATCATCTATAAATGGCTTATCATGTATGTGGCATGTGTACTGAATTGATTTTGCATCTCCATAGGCAGTAGATACCACCTGGGGTTATGTTTTCGGAAAATACTGATGGTAGATTGATGCGTATGATGTATGTTATGCCACAACGTATCGTTTAAAAACTTGCCAATTTGTTTCTAAATACTGTACAGGGACTCCTTTACTTACGAACGAGTTAGGTTCCAGAGGTCTGTTTGTAAGTCGATTTGTTTGTAAGTCCAACTTTACTCCTGTCGATTCCAAACATATTGTACGGCATGCACACTAAACACGGGGAATTGCTTCAAAGGATGTATAATCTCCTGTAGATGCCACTGGTTCTTCACGTTCTGCAGA